GTGTCAAGGAAGATTGTGGGGCAAATAAAAGATCCACCAACTTCGTACCGTCCAAAAGGTTAGCATTGAGGTAAAGGCGCATTAAAGAACGGTGAATAGCACCTTCAGTACTCCAGAGTGTGGTCATAAACTTTTGAGAGACAACGGCAGTTCTTTGTTCCTCCCCTTCTACTTCTATATCCTGCGCGGACTCCCGTTGCTCCACCGTTTGCAAGGACTTTAAAAATGTATCAAGTGCTTTTGTCGTGTCAAGATACGCTTTGGTGGAAGTGCGCTGCTCAGCCGACATGGCCGCTAAAAGCATGTCCATTGTATTCCCTACATGCGATGTGAGTCGTCGTACCACGTTTGACTTTGTTGTGGATTTCGATGGCGGCAGGGTTGCTGAAGCATGCTCAATTTCTCCTTCTGCACGCACCTCCGCAGCAGCTGCCTGACAATTAATGTATTCATGCAACCAGTTGGCCAATGCCTCCCAGTGACGTAAAATACGTTTCACAAGCGGATTCTCTGCTGTAGGCTCCGCACGTAACGCCACTGTGACGACAGACCGCACGACCGTGACATCCAATAGAAACGGTAGCACATATCGTGTCAGGAGTGGTAGAAGTTGCTCCGTGTCATTTGACGCTATAGCGGACACGAGTTCTGTCCCTTCCGTAGTTGCCAACAAATACGGAAGAAGAGCTGGCAGCTGCAGACACCTTGTCCTTTCCTCATCCATGTTACTCTCCTCTTGAGGGTTCCAATCCGCCGCCTCACCGATTTCCAGCAGATGTGATCGATGCGTGAGAAGGGCGGATACAATGCGGCGATGGCTTTCCTGCATTTCAGGTGATGAGTTCTCAATCACCTCCTTGAGTTGCACATACTCCTCCCGAATAAATGAAATGAGATCCTCCATTTCGGCACTCATGCGGGGCACAGTGGCGGTCCATGGCACCTGGGGAAACAATGCCTCGGAAGTGGAACTCATCTCTTTTTCCGGTGAAGTTACCAATACGGTTGCGTCTAATTCCGTCATTTTATCCGTTGATGACAGTGTTACTGCTTTTTCCTCTCCTACTACTACTGCTGCTGCTGCTGCTGCTGGTGGTGGTGGTGATGGTGACAATGATGATGATGATGTCGTAAATACGATTTGCGCTAGCTCCAAAACTCTGCTAGCCAACTCTTGCGCCCTCTCGACCGTCATAACACGTGGTAGTGGTAGCGGTGCATTTGTTGTAGGAGGACGGGCAAGAATACCTACATTGGAATGTTGATTTGTGTTGTTTTGAATTCCAACTCTAACACCAACACTATTGTAGGGGGTGCTGTACACAGGCTGCCCAAGAATAGAAGGCATGGCATTCATCTTGTCATGAATTGGGTTCGGTTGCAATGGCAACTGTATTGATGGGAAGAAGGGATGCGTAAGATATGGAGAGGGTGATGGCACAGGGTACAGAATACCGCCATTACCAACAACAGGAATGCTTTCTCCCCCTGGAATCCAATACATTGGTCTTGGTTGCTGTTGCTGTTGCTGCTGCCGTTGCTGTTGTTGTGCCTGTGCCATCCTTGACTTTGACTCCATATCTTCTTCGTTCCCGGTATCGGAAAACGTATTATTGGTGTTATCTTCATCCACAAGTTTAGGATAATTTGCATTCTGCTCGCGTGGCGGCACGTGAATGTCATTGGACGGTGGCATCGTACCATACATTGATGGCACCGTCTTCCCCAACAATTGCGGTTGCTGCTGATGTTGTTTTTGCCATGGAGGCAAAAGTGGACCACCGCCGTAGTACGCATACTGCGATTGATTTTGTTGCTGCATAGCAGGTGCTTGGGTATAAGGCATAGACGCCATCATTCCATCAACCGAATGATCATACGACACAACCGGCGGGGCCGTGCCTGCGTACATCGCAGGTTGCTGTTGTAGCCCTTCTACTTCCTCTTCTTGTTTTTGTTTTTGTGATTGTTGTTGTTGTTGATGCTTTTCTGCATTCAATTGATGAAGAAGTTCTGTGATGTCGTCATCAACAAAGCCCGGAAATGCTGCTTGTCGAGTTGTTTGCTTCTCAACTCCCTCAAAGATATCTATCTCCTCCTTTGCATTGCGGGTCCACGCCGGTGCGTCATTCTTTGCTGCTCGTCCTCCCCTTCCAAAACCGTCAAACGCGTCATCGTCATTCTCACCGTTCTTTTTGAAGTTGTCATCGACATCGTCATCGTCGTTCTCGTCGTCGTCGTCGTCGTCCTCGACGCCGCTGTCAGCCATGCCGTCGTCATTGTTGTTGTGATCATCGCCCTCCAATTCGCGTCGGCCTCGCCCCTTTTGCTGCTGCGCAGCAAACGTGGCCCCACTACGACCAGCAAACTCATGCGGGCAGTCTGCCATCGTCACAAGCACCCCGCATTGTTCAAAGAGTGTCCGCTGCACCACAAAGGAGCAGAAGGGGTTCCATAACCAAGCGTACACCGTCTCTGGACGCCGCATCGCCGCGTAAAATACGCCGGGCTCATATCCCGCCAATACAATGATGTCTTGCGGCGACCGTTTTGACCCCAACAGTGCGGTAATATCTTCTGTAGTGATACCTGTGCCATCATGTAGCGTCATGTAATAATCCGTCACACGGAATGTCGCATTTGGGACGTGTTCTTTGACTGGAGCTCCAAAACCGGCGCGGAGACCGACCTTCGCAAATTCTCCGAGCACCAACGATGCCAGCTGTACATCGCGACCAAATGTCAAAACAAGCTGCGATAATTCTGTACCAATCTTAACGAACCGCAGTGATGTGATGGCGGTCGAGGCCCGCTGGTAGGCGAGAAGGTCCATGACGTATTTTACGAGGCTCTTGGCGTACTCCTTAGTTGTCATCCCCTCCGGCACGCTGTTGTCGAGCTGCAAGACAACGCAGGGCGACGGGGTGATGGGCGGTGTGAGTTGAATCGGCTCCGGTGCGGAGGGCGTAAGACGCAACTCGGCGATGGAAGCTGGCAGATCAACGCGCACGCGTCGCCACTGCGGAGGTGGAGTGATGTGACGGCGAAGAATCATCTCGCGGCAGTACTGCAGCACGTCCTCCGCCGACGTCTCCTCTGAGATTTGACCACCAGACGCTTGCCCCTCCGGCTGCCCCGTGAGATCCCCAGCCATTTCTTCCCTTTGTTCTGCTGCGTTGCCCCCGTCCTCCCTCATCGCCGTGATTTCCCCCGTGCCGTAGTCATTATTGTTATATCCATCCCTGTCCGCCACATTGTTTGCAGCCATGTCTTCTCCCGCGCCGTCATATCTATCAGGTGCCGTCGCGTACGTTATGACTCCCTCCTCCCCATCTCCAGCATTCATTTCGCCAGCCACAAATGGCTGTCGTTGCTCTTGTTGCTGCTGCTGCTGCTGCTGTTGTGGACGCCTAAATGTGTACATGTTTCCTTTTCTCTGCACCCATAAAAAAATAATTTGAAAATAAAGACAACATCAAGGCCTATACTAAACAGAGACACATATGCTCACACATACACACTCAATTATAAATACCCAACAATAATAAGGCGGAAGTGGCACCAAAAAAAAAAAAAAACCAACAACAACAACGACCAACATACATGCATATCCATAAGTCCAAATATATATATGTGTAGATAATTTAAAGGATATAAAAATCGTAAATCTGAAACAGCTAATAAATGTATTCATTCATGTGTACATGAGCCCAATACACATGCACACATATATATATATATATTTATATATATATATATATATAAGTAAAGAAAAGGAGGGGGATACCATGAAGGTGTAATATAAAAAGAAAAGGAGAGGTCAATAAAGAGAAAGTGTTCTTACATGTACGCACGCACACACACACACACACAATGACGGGAAGGGGCAGAATGTTAACATCTCCAAAAAAGAAGACGACCAAAAAAAAAAAAAAAAAAAAAAAAAAGAAAACGACTCCTCACTTCTCCCTCTCTATGCATAAATATAAATACAAGTATATATATATATAAACCCCTAAACAGGCAACTCTACCAACAGCAAAAAGTGTGCAACTTTCAACGTGGTGCTTTTCCACCTTTTTTTTCTTTTTCTTCTTCTTCTTCTTTTTTCCTTCCTACCTTTTTTTTTTTTCTTTCTTTCTTTCAAGGTATTTAAATTGCATGTTGGTCATCCCTCCATCTGAGGTGTTACATCAATCACCCGCCCCCCTCTCAGTCTCTATCAACAAGAAAACAACAACACACGCACACACACACACAAATATATATATAAAGGAAGATACATTACATACATACACACAAACACATACATATAGACTAAATTTCAAATTGATCATTGCAAATAATTCCTTTTGGGGTTTCTTTTGTAATGAATAAATTTTTTTTTTTTTTTTTTTTTTTTTTAAATTCCTCTATCTTTCCCTATAACTCAGTGCCCATTCTCCTTTTCAATTTTTTTTTTTTTTTTCATTTTTTTTTCTTTCCCTTCTCGTCCGCTCTACCTCTCTCTATCTATTAACATATATATATGTATATGTATATATATGTATAATATCCACTAAAATTTCTTTTTTTTTTTTTTTTTTTTTACACCTCCCACGTTGTGCTTAACCAATAATACCCTTTGGTGTACTTTTCGGTACACACACAAATATATATATATATATATATTAGGGCGGTAAGTGAAGAACCATGGCATATATACACAGTGAAATACATATTTTGAGAAAAAAAAAAAAAAAAAAAAAAAGGAAAAAGAAATACAACTAAAAACCCCATGTTTTCTTTCAACTGCAAAGAACCTATTTGTCTATTTCATTACCCAGGTACAATAAAACTTTTTCAATCTCTCCTTCTTTCTTTTGTCCCTCTTTCTCTCAATCTCTCTCTCCGTCTCTTTCTCTATTTATCTGTAATGTCATGGTCTTCTCTTTCATGTATACATGTGTATTTTACTTTTCTCTCCCCCCTTTGCCGCCATGCATTTCTCAAGCTTGTCTCTATAAGGGTAAGAACCGAGCCCCTGACGCAAGGGGTGAAAAGGCGCAACATAACATCCACTGAAACGCCTCACTCTTCCCCATGAGTGAGACACCGTCCTCCAAAACATGCACCGCTCCAGCGAGTGGTTCCTTTGTCAGTATCGACTTCAACTGGATCCCATCCTCTATATCATAGAAGGGTATCGATGCCCCAAGTGTTGGGCAGCCCACCTCAACAGAGTGAGGAGAGTAAGACCCAAGTGACTGCTGCGCCTTTGAGAGAAGCACCATGAGGTGATTGTCACCCTCTGCAAGTTCACGAGCTTTCGTAAAGGTGGGGTTAAGAAAATTAGGAAAACGGTACACCTTGACGCACATCAAAGCCGCAAGAAGAAACACCTGGGCAAGAAACCTTCGCACAGCTGCGGAGTGTGTGCCATTGCCAGTAATCGTCGTTGAGAATCCTGTTGGCGTCGTAGAATTCGCGCCTTTGGAAGCTGATTGAATCGGCAGACTCACGTAACACGTGGCGGAAAAGGCCTGGTTCAAGTAAAAGACGGCATTGGGACTGTCGATGTCTTGTAACGCCGCCTGAAGAACGCTATCTATAAAATTGCTCATCGTGTGCAGAAGTTCCTCACTCGTCACGGTTCCCACGGGCGTCTTTGGTGACAGAGCCATGGCAGCTAGCTGATTGATGGACCCAAGTCCATCTGTGGCGTGTTTCCGCTGGATACTCTCCGCATCCAGCGGTAGTTGAAGACGCTGACACTCTAAAAGAAGCTGTTCATGAAAAGTTTTCATCCTCTCGTTCACAGGTGCAGGGACGGCATTTGTGTCAACCGAGCGTGTCTTCTCTTCAGCCTCTTGATAAAAAGCCAAGACGGTAGCGAGGCCATCGTGGGGATTAGAGTGGCGTGTTGCGCAAATCAATGCCGTATCCCACTGGCGCTGTCGACATGACAGCAACATGGAGAGACGATAACCGGCATCAATGGTCGTCTGACGCTGCAGTGGGACGGTGTGAACAAGAAGGTGAGCAATGACCACGTCCCCACTGTGTATGAGATCCATCACGGCATCATCATTGGCACCCTCTGCAAGCTTCGTTGCAGCAACAATACGAGGATTCATGGCATTCTCCAACGCGGTGGCTCGGGCATTTAACAATCCTTTCACAACAGCAGAGACACCGTTTGTATCGACTGTCGTGTTGTGTGGAGGCTCTGTACTCGTCTCATCCACAACATGTTGTGGACATGTCTGTGCAATGACAGCCGCCAGGTCCCAATTTTTATTCGACTGACGAGAAACAAGAAGAGCGGCACGAGCACTCTCTTCAGCCATAATAAAATAACGCAAAGCACGTGCGTTTCCAGCGGCTTCCATCGTCTCCGCTGCTTTTAGGCAAAGTGAACGCCAGAAATCGCGGCTAACGACAGGCGCTGCAGCAATGGCACGGTCCCATTCACCCACTTCAGCCATCAACTGACAATACTCGGCAACTTTCCCAATTTGCAACATAAACTCGGCTGCTTCTATAATACGAGACTTCTTGTACTCCTCACCTGCGTTCGTCACGGTTTTACCATGTGACTTCTCCACATTGGTCTTTCCCCACTTTCCATGCACTTCCACAAGTCGTGAGGTGGGCACAACAGTACACTTTGCGTTGGATACGTCCTGTGGATCAACAGAAAACCCTGCCGCCCGCGCCAAATCCACCGCCCCACAGGGAAATTCAAACATCCGGACAAGTCGTTCCATCCGTTTGTGCGGCGCGAGATTCGCTTCTTTCAACTCCTTATTTAGCTCCTGCACGACATCACCGGTCACCAAAAAGGCAGGGTCCACAATAGAAGAAGAAGAAGAAGCAGCAGCGCTGGCCAAAAGAGAGGCGCCATCCGATACAATGCAATGCTCAATTCTGCCTAGAGCGGCTTCAAGGTACACTTGTCTCAGTAGTCCCAAATGCCAAAAGATGATGCTGTTATCATGCGAAACGGAAGCAAACACAAGCGGACGCTCGGGATGCGTGCTCAATGCTATAACCTCCGCATTGTGAGCACGAACAGTTGCCAAATTGCTTCCACCACGCACATCCCATAGCCGCACTGTACAATCAGACGAGGCAGAAAGAGCAATATACGGAGCAATACTGCACCATGCAATGGCATTTACACTATTTGTATGTCCACGTAATACACGGCATGAAACAGAAGCAGTATGCGATGCTCCTGAATAAAGATCCCATAGCCGTAATGTGGTGTCATGACTACAGCTAAGAAGAAAGTTTGGTACAGTCGGATTATATGACACACTACTAGCCGCATCCATGTGGCCTGTAAGTATGAGCGCGGGTTCTTCACGACTTGAGCTGATGTGAAACACAAGTACTTGCCCATCCTGACACGCCGCGGCAAGGTGCTTTGGATGTTTTCTGTCAAATTCTATGCCCGAAACAGGGGACTTTGTCTTGTAATGACGTAAAATTTTACCATCACGTGCAGAAATCACAGCCAGACCGTCACGATGGGAGGCTGCAATATGACCACCCGACTCTGTGCAGCTCCACGAGACAAAATAGACGGTGCTCACAGTTGTCACACTGACCCGCCAGTGCTCACGTTGAGTATGCACATAATAACAAACAACCTCGCCGTTACTAAGCCCGGCGGCAAGATATTTACCAGATAGACTCCAGTCCATAGAGCGCACTATTACACGTCCCACGTCAAGCGTATTTTGTAAAACAAGTTGTTTTGTGTTCCACAGCCGTATCGTCCCATCTGTACTTGTAGTAGCGAGTTGATCCTTGTCGTGATGAGCGTAGCGACATGTATGCATGACATCCGTGTGGCCTGCCTCGGTCTGCATCTCTATTTGTCCTGTTCGTGTGTTAAACACAGCGACACTGCCGCTGCGAAGTGCAATAAAAAGATGCTCCGGTGCAAACGCAGCAATGCCAAAGATAGCACAGCCAGCCACCGGGTGCCAGACAGCCACAGCCGTGCGTGTGCTTACAGACCACACATGCAGCTTGGAAGATTCACCATCTGTTGTAACAAACTCTCCAGCTTGACCAGCAAGCCAAGCAATAGAAATCACCGGTTCTCCATTCACCGCATAAGTCTGCACAATGGTGGTGGACACAATGTCAACGAGAACGAGGCCCCCGTCGCGCGAGCCAACAGCAACAAAATTAGGATTGTTCGGATCAAACGCCATAGCTGTAACAGGGAGGCACCCCATTTCATTGAGAGCATCACTTCCGTTGTTAGTACTATCGGCCGCGGGTTTATCTTCAAAAACGGCGGGCGCCGAAAATGGACGCAATGACGCCGTCTGCCGTAGACCATTGGCTGGATGTATGGAAAGGACAAACAAGTATCCCTCAGATGTGCCGACAACAATGGTATCAGGGCGAGAGATGGAAACGTCCACAACTGTCACGTATCCCACTTGGGTCTCGGTGCCTTCCCAATGACCGCCAGCAGCTTTGGTAGCAACGGATGCGGGAGTGGACAAAGAAATGGAGTTGACACTCTTGTAAGTTACACAAAGCCGCAGTTGATGCATGGTCGTGCCGTCGTTCATGTTAACGGAGACGACCCAGCCGGTTTTTGTACCGTAGAGAATGTGATATTTTCCAGCTATCCGCACCACCGACGGGCCACCCTCACGCCGGAAAAATTCACCAACACAACTCGGCACACGCTTGTCATTTAAATTCTCTCCATCCGCGATGCGCCAGACAACTGTGTTTGTAGTGCTTGTGACGCATGCCATGTACTCGTCATTAAAGTCAAAGGAATAAATGACACCAACGACGCCGCTGGCAAAAATACGAGTTAGTGGATAATTATGAAATGTTTCATTTTCATTTTTTGCTCTTCCTGTTCCTACTGCTGCTCCTGCCGAAGCGGGAAGAGTAATTGTATTTGGTGTATGCATGTAGATAGCTGCTGCAGAGCAGTATACAATGACATTCGCGTGGCTAATGACAGGAAGAGCGCAGTCCTGTTGACATCCGCCAGGAAGAAGTGCAACTGGACTGAGCTCTGCCATTTGCCGCGATTACAGTGCTGAAAATTACTGCTCCTGTGTAACCGCCCATGAACGCAACACACATACATACAATGAGAGAAGAAAAGTAATGAAAGAGCATGTTTGTAAAATCACAGAGCAGCCAGCAGCAGCAAGAAGGCCGTCATGACGGCACAATGAGCGTCCAAAAGGGGAGGATAGGGGGGAGAAAGAAAAAAAAAAAAAAGTGGGTGGCTGTCAAAGAAGCAAATCAATCTCTCACGCTACCCCACAGCAGATAAAAAAAAAAACACCAGCAAAATTTGTTTGTGTGTCTGTGTGTGCGCAGAAATATCAGGGAGGAATTGTTACTTTTTCCCAGAACACGTTATTATTATAAGTTTCGTCATTTCCTCCACTCTCCCTCTTTCTCTTCAATTCCTCTCGTTTGGTGGGTCGTCCCTACGTCTCCTCCAGTACACGTTGCAACTCGTCCACGTTTGTTGAGACCAATACACACCATTGAACAACTTCCAGCAACTTTTTCATCCCCAACGTCCAGAGATTCTCACTCACGTCGCCGTGGCGTACAGGGAAACCGTCCACCTTGTCATGCACGATATCGTATGGCGCGTCAACCGACTCTATTGACTCCAAAACGGCGGTGGCAGAAGAGACCCACGCGGACTGCATCGCCCCCTGCTCCACAATGAGGCGCCGGTAAACGGCTTCTCTTAGAGAAATTAGGCGCTCTTTCATCCAAGTGGCAATTTCCCGCACACATGAAGCGACAATGACACATGCGGCACCGAAAGTTCTCCATGAAAAAAACTTTTCAGAAATAAAAAAGTCCGACGAGCGACGTGTTATCTGCATCGATGACCCCCGTGCGGGAACAAATTCCACGGTACTTTGCTCTCCATTCGGTCGCAGCACAAATGTTGGCAGAGAAATACGATGATGGCCAATGATGGTTTCCAAGAGCCGCAACAGATATCCACATGCCTGATTGATTTCCGCTATACTTACACTGTCATTGCGGCTCCCAAGAAGGCTGCGTGCGTATTCCTTCTGCATATGTAGTTGATTCATCAGCATTGTTGACTCGAGACTTCTACTCATCTCCGCTGCGAATATGGTCTTTGACGGTGGCGCAGACGCGGCCCGGCGCTGTTGGGCAGCAAATGAACTTCTCCGTGACGGCGCAGCTGTAGGACATTTTCCAAGCCGAAAACCCGCAATAGTGGCCACCGTTCCACTTGTGTCGATAGGGAACGCCAAAGACATCGCATGTAGTTTCGACATCCATGTACAACTACAGGCTGCAAGCTGCATGCGCAATGATACCCCAGACGCGGCATCTTCTATATCAAAAAAAGAAGCCACTTTCCGAGCGTTGTACTTAGCGACTGCTTCGTCCCACTCAAGCTTTACCGCCGTTCGTTGCTTTGAGAGCACAGTCAGCTCATCATGAAGAGCTTGGCAAGCTTTCGCCATCAGTCTTGAATTCGCCTCCACCTCCCATACTTCAATTTGCAAGCGGTACAACGACTCCTGAGAGATGACATCATTTTCGGTCGTATCAGCATTTGTGTGCCTGTTATCGCTATCGGAAAGTTGCCGTCTGTCTGAAGTTTTTTCATTACGATCGGTGATGTCCACTCTCCCTGTGATGCTGACTTGTGCTTCATCGCTTGCCACATCCCTCTTACGGCGTGAGCAAAAGCAGAGGATAAAACTTTTCGCATCAGGGCTGGCAGACACCGCCGAGAGGGCAATGATGTCCTCCATGATACGGGTCGTTTCCTTTTGCTGCGCCTCTAGAGAGTCTTTCCAACAACGCACACAGAGCGGAACGTTCGTGCGGCTCTTATGCACTACAAGACGCATCAGGTGTCGAGAAAATTCAAAGAGAAATGCCTCTCTGGAGAAATTTGGGATGCACGGCTGCCCCGGCGAAGATGCTGTTGTCAGGGATGAGTCAACGCTTGTCGTTCCCGCTTTTTGCGCAGCTGTAGGGATCATGGTGGCGTATTTTCCCCCCGCGTGAGGCACCATAGAATTAATTTTCTGCATATTAAGAATGCGTGCCGAGTGTGGCGAATTTGCGGTTGCCTGTGCCGTTATCTGACTGATGCGCGGGGGCAAAACATTTCCCGCGGCAACGGACATGTGGGGAGAAAGGGCAAACGTTTCTTCTCCTGAAGCCACAGAAGAGGGTTCAACGCATGTAAAGGGACACAGCGGCGAAACTAGAACATCTGCAGGTGGTACCGGAAGCTCGGATGCTGTTTGCGTTGATGCACGTCGATGCGTTGCACTCATTTGCATGGCCGCAGCGTCGGGTGTCGCGGTGGCTCGTGGCAACGGTTGCTCCGAACGAAATTCGGTTTGTTGAGCGGATAGTTTGCTTGAGGGCTGCGGTGGTGGAACGGGACCATTGTGAAACATGCGCCATAGCTCCTGCATGTACACAGCGGGCTCTTCGGGAGCAAACCACTCATATTGATATACAAAAAATGGTGCGAGACGCGTGACCATGCGATCTTGGGCAATTGTCGTGCGTTTCGTGTTCGATGTTACCGTCTGAGGCTCGCCACTTCGCACAAGAGACATATTTTTTCTCAACACGGCGTACCGTTCATTCAGCCACGGCGAGAGTGGTGATGGTGAAAGCGGGGCGTACTTTCCCGCCGCAGTCAACAGGGATCCTTTGATCGCAGGGTGCAGTTTCTGCCGACGCAGGGTTTCGCGCTCCTCCCAATCATCCTCCAAGTCAGCCTTTTCCTGAGAAAATGTTTTCTGCTTCTGCTCCTCCAATTGCTGAAATTCTTCTTCAATTTTACGGAGAACACTCATTTGATCATCCCGAAGACGGCGACGACGCTCTTTTGCCTCATCGTCTAAATGACGTGTCGTCCGTGATGACATCAGGAACCCACCGATAGATGACGGGGATGATGACCCCGACAACGAAAGACGTTTTGCGGATGGGACTGGGAGATTCTTTTGAGATGTCATTTTTTGTCCATCAAGCGACACCGTGCGGCGGCACACACAACACGCAAAAAACGTGCACACTGGAGCATACGCCTCGTCTCCAGGCGTCGTTATGGAAGTCCTCATGGGATTTCCTCCTTCACTCCTCACATTATTCATTCTAACGTGTGTGGGGTGAGAGGAACCAAAATAATAACCCTGTAATCTATGTATGTACGTGTGGGTATGCTTGCAGAAAGAAATAATACATATATAATTATATTTACGGGCTTTCCTCCTAACACCCACCTAACAATGTCTCAACAACAAGAGAGAGTAAAAAATGTTGGTAGATATCAGCCAAAACAAACAAACACACACACACGTACATACACACGCACAGACACAGAAACACAGACAAAAAAAAACAACAACACATAAATAAATGAAATTAACAGGCATTTTCATCCTACACACGCTCTCATGGCTGCAGTGGGTTACCCTCAGCCTGCTCCAGCCGCGACGCAAGGCCCGAAAGAACTTGCCGCACTGCCTCGTCCAACTTACCGCCATCTTCGTTGTTTGTGTTTTCATGTGTGTTCATGGAGGAGATAGCAGTAAACGGCAAAGAAGTGAGTTTCACAGATCGAGGGACGTACAACTGTGTCTTATTGCTCTCTCTGCTGGTATTCATTGTTTTTCTCCGAGATGGTGACAGGCGCAGTGTCGACAAATAGCCATCTATACGCTGACAATGAGAATCATCATGAGAAGCCTGTTCCGCCAACTCTATAGACAGTGACCGCACCTCATCCCGTAAGAGCTGCACAATTCGTGTCAACTCAATCTCCCTTTGGCGCAGAGCGGCATTGACCTCTTCTATTTTCCGCCGTGCCTCACGTTCCTCCTGGAGGGCGTCGTGGGCCGCACGCAACCTATCCTGTAGCTCTTGATAAAAATCACGGCCTACAAAAGCGGTCGCCACATGTTCCTCATACTCGCGAAGTTGCTGGGCAAAACCTGCGGCAATTCCTTCGCGTTCCTGAACCATGGAGCGCAGTTGGTGGCTCTCCTCCTCTGCTATTTGAATGGAGGCGTCTTTCTGACGCATCTTTTGCCGAAACTCCGTGGCGGCATCACGGACGGTGTGCAAAACATAATGAAGTTTCTCTGCAAGCATCCCACGGCAATGTATGAGCTGGGAATTGACGCACGGCAAACCACGACGCGTCCAAGCAGCGCCACCACCACCACCACCTGCAGCAGCAGCAGCAGAAGCCGCACCCCGTGAAATATGCGCTTCAAGCCAGAATCGATTGGTCTCCATGTTGTTGTCCAGCTCTGCAAGGGCTAATATTTGCTCCAATGTATCGTTCATTTCATGCTCTGCAGTGCCGTTTCCATCACGAGACGCAATGACAGAAAGAAGGGTCTTCAGCGGTGGAAGGTGGACAAACGGCATCCTCGTTCCCCCAGTTTGCCACCGAAGAGCCGCCGACACACGCGGCACCGACGCCACAAGAGAAAGAACATTTCTGGATTTCAGCATGTGCCACGGTGAAAGAGCAAATCCGCTCAAATCACGACCATTGTTTCTAAGGTTTGTGCTGTTGTCATCCTCATTGTATACGGCAAACATGACGTGGCGCCTACTGTGACGAAAAGACAGCAGATGCTGCATACGATGACATGCTATCACAACGGCCACAACGACATAAAATGAGCGTCCATGATGCGAAGGTAACACACGGCCAATTTTATGCAAACCCAACTCCAATTCCTGTCCTTCCTCCTCCTCCTTCTTCATAAACTCCTGAAGCACTTGAATGGCGGCCCGACAGTCGGTTTCTCGCGCTTCGTAGGCACGCCAAAGAGCATCCCGCTCCTCCGCCACGGTACTCAACCGCAGCGTCAGGACTGCCACAGCGCCGCACAGCTTCCTTAAGAGTTCATAGAATACGTCTTGATTCCGTATTTCACGCCGCACTCGGGTCTCCAGAACATCTGTCATGCGAACCAAATCTTCACATCGATGGTGTAGTGTATTCAAGTCAAATTGTTTCTCACGGGTCGTACTTTGACCTTCGGCAAGCTCTGCGCTGAGTTCGGCAATCTTATCATCACGCGCGGTCAACTCCTGCTTTGCCGCCTCATATTGTTCCTGCATCTCACGTACTTGCCGCTGCAGCAGCCGTTCCTGTTTAGACTTGGCCTGCACATCACGCTCCGCAGCCTCCGCTCGCCGTACAAGAGAATTTCTTTCTACCTCAGCTGTACGCATGATCGCAGCAATTTTCGTTTTCAAAGAAGACTCCGTGTCGTGCGCCGTCTTCAGAGACGTCTGCAAACGCTTCACTATGGCTTGATTCCTTACGCGTTCCTCACTTATGGCCATCGATTGCCGTTGCTTCTCCTCCTGCAGCTTAAGAAGAGTGTCATGCTTTGAACGTGCCTCGCGTAGTTGCCGGATTGCGTTTCTTGTCGCCTGGCGTGTACGCCGCAGCAACGTATACACCATTCTATCATGGGAAGGATCCAATATCGTCTCACATGTCATAAACTCCTTCCTGCCAAAGTGCCACTCATATGTTTGAAATTTTTCTTTTTCACATGCCATTCTTTTCCCGCGTTCCTCGCCCCGCCCCTCTATGTATTCCTCATGACTGCTATTGTTACTGCTACTGTCATCACTATTCTTGTCGCCATCCTCCTGTTTATTCCCAGGCTTTTCTTTAGTGCGTGATGTTTTGTTTCCCCTGCTGATTCGCATGTCGGTGTTGGTGGCGGTAAGCACCATTTGACTCTGTCGTTCCATAGCGCGGAGCAGCTGCGTGTACCGAATTTCCATTTGATGTAGCCGCTCTGTCGCCTCCTGCCTGGTGCTCTTTATCGTCTGCAGCTCTGCCAGATGTGCCTCTTTCATGGCATCTAATTGATTCTGCAGTTCCTTTTGTTTTTCTTGGGATTCACTTTCCCTTGACATTACCCTCTCCTCCAAGCAACCCCACTGCTG